TTAAGGTCAAATAACCCTAGAGCCGAGTCCTACTCAAGAAGAATAGTATTACTTTCACAGAAAAAAGAAGCGTGGGAAGGGGGGTATGATAATCGGTAGGAGTGTATATATGGCGATTACCCAATCATGATGAGGCAACTGATAATGCGTCGTTCTATATCTGGGATAATCATTACATGATCTATTTCGGGGTGAAATCTATTTCGGGATGTACTACAAGCATATAATTAATTTCCCGGTGTGACTATATGGGGATGTACGACTTAATACTCTATCATGTGCCCGATAAATAACGCGTGACGATAGTTTGAAGAGTTTGAATCACGAAAAAAAAATGACAAAGTTTGTAATTATATATGATATATTAGCCACCAGGGCCAGTTTTATTGATATGGTAAAATACAATGATTAAAATACAGGATAAATATTAAGTATTAGGTGGGGGCGAAGATACTGTCGAACTACCTTCATCACTACCACGCGTTCTAGAGTTAAATAGCAAAGACAGATCAACGATCAAGATTCTCTGCAAAATAAAAAAGTTAGTGAATGATGCAAAATAAATGTATGAGAATATAAACGAATACATACTCGTAGCAACAACAAAGTCTCTACAAATTCAAATACAGCTTTTTTGTTATCTGTATACTGTGTCGGGATATCTACAGATCGTAAAAGAAATAGACGGCTTATATCTTCATGATCTCGGATAAGAACATATAGATTAAACTTTTGTCCAGCAACTTGGAACCCAAGAATACCGAACTCATTTTCAACCAATCTACACCCTCTATTCGCCCAATATAAGCCATCATTAAGTTCCCGCCACAGTTTCACTCTATCATCTTCTTCTTTGGTGCCACCACAAACAATACGTGAACATTCGGCAAATATTAATTCATAGATTCTATCCTCATGCTTAACTATGAACATAATATCTGGACGTTTTCCTCTTTCACCTCTTCTGTCTTTGCTAGCCACACTTTGACGTTCTGCCCTATAATATAAGAAATGTAAATAGAATAATACCCTTAGAAGAAAAAAATAAGAAAGTTTACTCACGTGCTGATATATGCAGATTTTCCGATTGGTAGATCTTTTAGTGTGGCTCGAATGATAGGGACAATAATATCCGTCACATATGTCCCCTCACTTTGGGTTTTAGCGAATTTAGGGCTAAAAGCTGGGTTTTTCCAAATATCACCCCTATAGTATAAAAAATAAATAGTATATAAAGTTACAAATGAATTAATAATAAATAGATCCAGTATTATACTTACAGAGTTTCAAGAATTCTAACTGTGATATTCCTAAGGATCTCTCCCCTCTCCCATCAATTTAGAGTCTGCCAGGGCGACCCCTAAAAGTTCGGGCCACGTGATATTGCTGATTGATACCGGCGTTTCCGATCTGCCAATTCCGATCCATGGGATATTTATGTGCTACAAGTATATTAAATATACTTGATTGGCACTTGTCTCAGTTTGCAAGATGAATAAAGAATATAACGAAAGTTTGTTCAAGTAATTCTTCACAAGTTTTATCAATCACATCAGAACTTACATTATCTTGCATTAGTGTCGCATCATTTAGTAGAGAGCATTGGTGGAGAGATTCTTTTAGTATTTCTTCAGTATCTTCTATATTAAAGATAAATTCTTTGAATTTAACATTACTATTCTTTTTACAGGCAACGGTAATTAATTATGATTTTGATAAATTATTGAAGAATAATTAAATAGAATTTTAGATAAGTACAATTAATAAATATACATGTTTTTAATTATACTTTCTATGCTAATATCATTTTTATTTATTCTCGTTATCTTCTATAGCTACAATATCTGTATCATCGGTTAATATACTCTTGGTGAAATATGATTTTTCTCTACGATTATCGGACCCTTCTGGACATGACAAAAATATTAAGTATGGCTTTCTATTTACTGGCATCCAAGTCGACTGTCGATATCTTCGTCGTTCTGTTATCTGGATTTTCTCTTCCATTAGTACTATTCTACTTCATTCCATCATTACACGAACATGGTACCAGTTATTAGCTGACTTTTCAATATAAATTTGCTTGATTGCCTGTTCGAATGATGACCAATTTGATTCGACATAAGTCTGAATCTCTTCCTCTGGATTTTTATTAATGGTAATATTATTAGGTATATTATTAATAGTGGCTTCTATACTATTAGAATCAGCAACTTGGACTTTTTCAATCTCGGTAGGTATAACAGATAAGACGTTAGTTGTAGTTTCTTCACTTTCGGAATTCCTTAAAACAAGAAATGGTAGAGTGGTATAATGTTCAAAATCACAGTACAGTAGCCTTTGTCATTTGCCATTGGGCATAATATTAATCTGCTGGACTAAATGCTTGCATAGAAGGAAGTGACTTCCAAGAAAGGCAGGATAGCTGCAGACCCAGCAAGCAACATCAGTAAAATATGAACTGTCTAGATTTGTTACTTTCATACTGATGTTTCACTTTCTTTTGCTCTTGATATGCTCATCGGTTCATTGATTATTACTTACAGATGCAGTAATCCATACTTTCTTGAAATCATCCCACCACCACGGTATTACCACGCCGGTTAGAATTTGAGATAGTCACTCTTTTTGTGCTGATATTATCTCGTTGATGAGTGTCCAAAGCAGCAAATCGAGTCTTGGATGATTGAAATGGTGTAAATAACATCTTTTAATAACACTTCAGTGGGCTTCAATCATCATTGTTATTTTTCCAAAAGGTATTATGGATCTAACTGATTGTGCCCACAGGTACCACCGCTCTAATAAATACCAGCTGGTCCAGAGGTAGGCTCATAGTAATCGCAAGGAATTTTTCATACAGAATTAATACATTTCTCTTACGGCACTTTGTCTGATATCTGTTGATGTCATGAAGTTTCCTTGAGCATCGATAGGTATCAATAGGTGCATATCAAAATGTTTTTGCATCAGCTTCAAAATTGACTCTCGATATGCTGATGGACAGATAACGTATGTCCTTGAATCGCAATCTTCTTGTGTTGGATAAAAGGTGAGATCAATAAAGTCAAACTCGTTAGTTGCTTTACTAACATTATAAGTTATGGTACGTAGTTGTGTTTTATGTTGTATTTCATGTTGTGTTTCATGATCTGTATTATTTAATAGCTTGGCTTTCTCTTTAAGCTTAAGTTTTAGGGCCTGATTCATGTGCCAAGCGCATAATTGAACTGCCAAAGGTCCCCACACCTTAGTCACTACATTAATTTTTGCAAAATCTTTATCAGTAAACACAAATCTTGGATTAATATCATATAGCTTCAAGGTTTCTAGGAAGCTCTCCAAGACTTTACAATGTCTACTTGTACTAGTACTCGTATCTGTCTTAGTTGTATCAAGTATAAGATAGGTAATTGGGAAGCTGGTGCCTTTAACTTCTGCTATGATATCATAAAGTTCATAGTGTCTGCGTGCAGTTTTATAAGTAGCATCTAAGTATATCTCGGTAATATTAATACCGTAATTCTTAATTTCATTTAGTAATGGGATAGTAAAACCAATAGCTGTGATCTCCAAATCTTTTATATCAAGACATAAATAGAAATCATAACTATCGTATTTATTGAGCAACTTGCGAGCGGATTCAACATAGTCATCATAATGTTGGAATAACTTCTGGCCTGTTATAGACTTCCAGAAGTAAATACGCTTGGGAGAGTATTTTGAGATATCGAATTCTTGATATCGTAGGTGATTTTTTAAGTCCACTACAGTAAGATGCGAATGTGTATTAATCTCTTCCCATAGTTTATTGGGCATCTCAATGCAAAGATCTGGACGCGGATGGAGAAATTCATAATATATATCCACTATTATAATACTGAGTATCATATCGATACGCATGATAACTTTCCCTTTATAATCATATCGCATTCGTCATTTGCGATTAAAATCTTTATACATTTCACCCTATGTATCTTTCGATTGGCAACACAAATAAGAAAAATAACTGACTGCATTTCCGAATTTTCTGGATATGTTCGAATTATGAAAACTTCAATAATATATCTCAGTTAGTAAGTAATAATCTAATAAAAATTTATTTCACAAGATGAAATTACTTACTTCCATGAAAAATCATCACCACCTTCAACTTCTGCAATTACAAGATCAGCCATCTTCTTTGCTGTCTTGTTTTGAGTGATAGCAATATCTAATTGTACCAGTAAGTGAGTCTTATAAGCTACGTCAGCTATTCCATCAATATATGTGCCAGCTGTTAGATCTCAGATTTCATGTTCGATGAAGTTATCCACATCAAGATAGTTAATTTTGATTCATGTGATATCATTGACATGTTCTTGTAATTCTCCTGACATATTTGCTATGATTCTAGCTGGTGACATGCGCTCTTTATTCCTTCGATCCCAATTCTCCTTACATCTTCTACATGTCTTGTGACGTATACCATTCCAAGTAAATTGATCATTAGGATGATTACATTTGCATTTAGTATAAAACATCATTTTTTAAGAATTTATTTGTATGTAATTAGGATTTAGATATTGAACAGTAACATGTAAGAGATCTTTTATAATATATTTAATGTATTTATTTTATAATTAGCGTTAGGATTTAGATATCGAACAGTAAAGAAGTAACGCGCTTTAACGTATTTAAAATTACGTGATCATAAAATTCGGGAATTTAAACTTTAAGCATTATCTAAATCGAATCTAATATGATATATTTATCTAGATTTTTTAGATTTCTTTTACTTGATAGTACACAGGAGAAATGGTATTTAAATATTATATTGAAGATGTATTTATTAAAATAATAAATTTTATTAAAATAATAAATCAGCTTAAATGATTTATATTAACTTTATTTTTTTAATATATTATTAAATGTAACCAGATCAAGCTAAGTAATATTCCATGGATCAGAATTGGCAGATTGGAAATGCTGATATCAATCAGCAATATCACGTGGCCTGAACTTTTAGGGGTCGCCCTGGCAGACTCATCAATTTACATGTAAAAGTTTTTGAGGGGAAATCTCCATAGTACCATCATCATAGTTTGATATGAATTTATCGTATATTAGTTTGATTGAAGAAGATGGAGATGCTTGCATGTATTTTACTGGTTCCTAGTAATATATCCATTTTAAATATAATCTTTATCATACAAAAATAAATTATTTTGTTCTTATCATGAAAGACTCATATTCTTCTTTTGGTAATTGCTTAATCATCTCCATTTTACTACTAAGAACCTAACTTGCAAGTGGATCATGCCATGAAAGTTCTGAAGATTTAACCTTACCTACACATTTTTGTAAAGATTTGATGTATCGAGCTTTACTTTTTTTAAGATTGCCCTTCAATATTCGCAAGTTATTTTCAATCTTCTCGGTGGGTAGATCTTTTTCTTGTCCTGCAACTTCAAAATCACGAAGACTATATACTCCTTCAAAGACATCATCAAACTAGCACAGAAGAACTTATATTAGATCTAGTTATTATATATAATTATATCAAAAACTATGTGCGCACATGTTAGATTTCTATCATGCAAAATTATCAACTATGTGTGGCCAATACATAGATAATAAATCACATGATACATATATTTTTCTGAACTGAGACTTGAATATACCCCTATGCATCTGAGAATCAATATGTATAACAAACAATCCTGGACTTACATGGCTTTGGATATGACTTCGATTCAGTTATCAGAATTTTATTCTGCACTAATTATCATATAATCAAAATTATTTTCTAGCAGTGAACTTCAACTATTACCTTCAATAGCAATCCAAGAAGCTTTCGGTATTTGTCTGAATCAGACGTATATGAAGACAAAACTGCTGAAATTGATTGATGTAATAGTTGTCTTAAAGTTTCTTTTGTAATCCATGCTTCTTCATTTATTACTTGATAAATTACCAAAAATGCTATAATATGCTCTGGGGATGCGATGTGAAGAAAATTGTAACTAGTGTCATATAATGTAGACATATTTACATATATTAAAACAAAGTACAAGTAAAAACGATGAATAACCACAACATAAATATATTGTCCTTTTAAAATATTTTCACCCATCTATTTCTGCCTCATTTAGGTATGAGTATAATAGCTTTAGGGAATGTGAAACTGGAGTGATGCAATGCATAGCGAAAAACTTTTCACAAAGAAAATACATATGCCATGAGTTAGTTAATCGGATTTAGAATTTATAGTAACAATTAGCAGGTCACATGATTACATCATGTATGAAAAGTTCCATGATCTTCTAATTTATTCTGTGATATAACATGTGATATATATTGATCAAATATCTGTGGCACGTATTCAAAATCTCACCTATTAATCGCTAGATAACTTTCCAATACAAGATAATTGACTAATATGTGTAGGGTATAATTTGTTTTTGTTTCCTTACTGAGATTCAGAAAAAAATCGAGATAGCAGGAATAATTTTTCCAGATCTGTAAAAGTGAGATCAGAAAAATCACGTGACCAAAAGTCAAAAAAAAATCACGTATTATACATTTATTAAATACTTTATTAGCTTTGCTATTTTGATATTGATATAAAAATAAACTAGATGAAGTGTGAGTTTGAGCTCATAGGTGTAATATGTGGCATAGTAACTGTCATTAGGATTAAAGATGGCTCCTCAACTAATTGTAGCTTGCGGCAGCTAATCAGAGAATTGTGACAGAGTTGCGGCAGTCAATCAGAGAATTGCGACAGAGTTGCAGCTAGTTGCGGCTCCCATCTCTAGTTAGAATCCTCCCAAAACTTTTGAGATTACATGATCAATATCATCTGAGCTTAATCTAGAGATAGATGATGCTGTAAAAGTTTTAACCTGACTTATTTTTTCTTTACCAATCACATTAAAGAGCTTATAAAGTTTTCTGGTCTTTTCAATTCTTTTACGAAGAGCCTCCTTTGTAATTTTGTTAGGAATCTGAGTATGTAGCTCGAGATTGAGAAGAGCTCTAGATGCACTACTATTATGAGTTTTTTTAAGTTCTTTATGTCATTCTTTTAAAGCTTTGTCAAAGTCAAAATACTAACTAATTACTTCTCGATTCATAATATCATTTTTCAATTCAGCATAGGTGATCATACTAAAGAAATATAAAAAATTATGAGGCTGGGATTCACCACTGGATTTTTCATTATTCCTCTCTTCAGAAATTTTGGAAATATTGGTAGACAATTCTTTGATAAGTCTTTTCAGAACACCAGATTCTTTTTCTTCTTTCTTATCTTCACGAGGTTTTTTGCTGGGTCTAACTTTCATTTTAGCCATATTAATCTCATTTGCTTGAAGTAAAAATTGTGGTTCTGAGTCAGTAAAAAAATTACCACAATCAGGACAAATTGGGTCTGATTTATTTACAAGAAATTTCTCAACACATATTTGATGAATCACATACTCACAGGTTAAAATAGTAATCAGTGTAGGGGGTGTTGAAAGAATTTTGCCTTTACAGCGTATACAGGGTTTCTGTTCAGGAATTGTAATATTATTGAACTTGATTTTGTCAGATTGTTTTAGTATATTTAGTACGAGAATTTTAATTGATTCATTACGATATAAATAAGTAGAGATTATTATCTCAGCTTCAGTCAACCACTTTCGTAAATCCGTATTTTCGATTTCAATCAACTTCTCTAGTGAATTTGTGGTTTCGAATTAGACTTCTGTAAGATATTCTAAGGGAGCGGGCAAAGTCTCGCTAGTTATATTAGATGACTTAATAAGTAAATTCTGAAAGCTAAATATAATTTATTTTTATATAGTATATTTCTCACCATTAATAAAATCAATTTCAGATATTATAAAAACTAATTTCAGATTTGGTGATCTGTTCATTGATAAATTAATTACTTTGGATCAGAATCACTTAATTTTTATAGGTAATCGTAGATGATTTCAGCTGAAAAGTAAAGATTAGCATTAATTTCACAAAATAATAACGAATTAGCTTAGTCTCTTGTACATCTTACAAGCGTATCTTTTTTTAATACATGCATTATATGATTGACATGCCAGCAATAGACATATATAGTAATGATTTATAATTTTGGATTTGTATATCTTGGATGATGATTATTATCATGCACAAAAATTTATTATTGGAAAAAGCAATTATCATATGTGATCAATTAAATATGATATCGTTTCCCTAAGGCCCATTATAATGTGATTTATATATGCTATTAGACGCATTAAGATAAAGCTCGATAATTAACTTTATCTTTTACTTTATGCTTAAGAATAAGGCATTTTCTTACTACTTCAGTCTTATACATATGTATAACTTCTATTTCTGAACTAGATGTGGAAGAATTACTTGAATTATTATCTGAAGTATCTGAATTAGAAGAAGCATCCATAGAATATTTGACCTTATTTTTCTTACTTTTATTTTTGGAAACATTGTCATTCAATCTTCTGGATGTTGGAGATATATGGGATATGTTGTGAAATATTCAGTGATGTCTTTTTTGGTACTTATTATCTTCGCTTCTGAGAGATAATTTCTTGAACATATTTATGAGTTCCTCCAATGATAGATTGGTCTTAGGTGAGTTATTTTTCGTGGAGCTGGCTTTGTTAAAATCTTCATTGATTAATGGGATGCTCATACTATCTATTACAATTTTACTATGATATTCATAGGTTCTGGAAGAAAATCCAAAGATAATTTTTACTTTATGCATTCATAACTAACCTTGATCCAATACCAGATCAAATGGTAGATTTTTGCGAATCTTGAAGTCTATTATATCAATATCATCTAAGCTATGGTATGTTCTCTTATACTGGAATTGTAAATCCAAATAATTTATTTTATCTATTGCGTCTTCATAAAGATTCTTAACAGGGCTACAGATAGAGCGTATTCCATGATTTGATTTAAGTTTATCGAACAATCTCTTACTAATGGTATTAAACTTTGATGATATATCTATTAATGCTTTAACTGCAATTTTTCCTTCTACGAGTATTTCTATGAAAATCATGTCAAATATTATTTATTATAACTGAAAAAAATAACTCGGTAAATAATTACCCATTCTCTGCTACTACATAAAATTATTTGTAAACCATGAATGATTAAGATTAATCCTGCCAATCTCTCTGATATAATTACTGAGTGCAGAAATAAGATTTGTTTCATCCTGCCTTCTCACATGTTCGAAGTCAGAGATATTCATTAACCATATATTTTCTTTTGAGCTTGAAAGAAAGGAGAGATATTTGATTTTAATTTTAGGATTAAGTTTTTTATCACTTCTTTACTAATCCCTTTACATCTCTCCAAACTAAGATATTTCAAATTAGTACAATTGCGAGCTATTTCCTTGACAGCTTTATTATTAATCAAGCAATCACCAAGCTTAAGATGTCTAAGTTTTGGACACGATTGAGTAATTTCAGTGATACATCGATTAGTGAGATATTTACATGAATTAAGACTTAAGTGTATTAATTTCGGACAAAATTTTGCAATTTCTATAATTGGTATATTAGTAAAACCATAACTTCAATTAAGAATAAGAAAGTGTATATCTGGATATAAATGCAGAATTACACTGATTAAAGCATCTTTGATTTTTAAACCTTCCAATCTGAGATATACCATTTTTGAGCAATAAAGAGATTTTGTCTTTTCACACATAACTCTTTTAAACTTCATCAATCACCAATAAAGAGATCCAGATGTATTTTTTTCATACTGATCCTGTTGATAACCTTCTATAGAAAACTCAATGTGATGCCATAGAATAGGAGTACCGCAGTGATACCAAAACTGATTAACAAATAAAGTGGAATAGAGAGATCGATCAATTTCTAAAAAATATAAGATATGTTCTAATAGCTCAGATATATTAAAAATATTTAGTTGTGTCATTCTCAAGTAATATATTATTATATATCTTTAATCAAAAAATAAATCTTTAATAGATAATTACTCACCTTATTTATCTTAACTGGAAAGACTCTCTAATACACTTAATCTTTCTACTAACTTGTCTAATAGAAGTTCCAATTCACATCTTCTGGCTTCCAATTGATTATTGGGTGATAATCCACAAATAAATTCATATCTAAACTATTCTTCATTATATTCAGCTAATTTACCATATTTTTTTACTTTCCTATAAAAATTCATTATTGAATCATTACCTTGTTTCAAAGATCTGATTCAAAACTTTTTCATATCAGTAGGTATAGATGAGATTATAGTTAGATACTTGACTATTTCAAGCAGAGATCTTTTAAACTCAAATCGAATTGCTTTTTTTTTATTATCTAGTGATAGACCATTGAAGAATTTTTCCTTAAGACCTTGATTATCTAAGTCGATATCTAATTCTGAAGCATATATCTCTATCATCTTGAAATAATTATTTACAGATTGATAGAGTTGTATTGGTAATGTAATATCTTCTGCTTTTTTAGGTTTTAAAACTAGAAAACTTAGATATGATCCCAACTAATTAATTGTATCTCTTACTTCGAGGTAATTCTCTATTCTCATGATTAGTATGTTTCATGAATATAACTATATATTTAATATTATATTTTTTACTTCATATTAATAAATAATATTATAACATCAACAATGAATAAAGCTACTATTGATTCATGTGCTAACATATTAACTATAACTAAAGAATTTGCTAACCATTTAGGATAGAAAATTAATGGAGATGATCACGAATCTCAAAATTCTAATAATGTAATATTCAGTATTATTAGCCAAGTATCAAGTAAAAAAATTCAGATTTCTCTCTGCCAATTACTGAAGTTAGTAAAACCTGAGATTTAGCAAGACACTATAAATTTGATAGCAAATCCAGATATTGCTAGAATATAATGTAAAGTAAAAAAAGCTAGCCGTGCTAGATTTACTAATGATTCTTCATCTGAAACATCATCCAAATCTGAGTCTGACATCTGGATCTGAATCCGAACCTGGTTTTAATAATAATATTAGTATGCATGTAAGAAAATCAAATAAGTATAATTAGTAATTGTATAGGTCAATGATACTCTTTATTTCATCATTTTCTTGTTTAGATAAAATAATTGGTCTGTCATTTATTACATCATAATGTCATGCTGTAGCTCTATATCCTTTTTTATGTTACGTTGCTAAATCTTAATATCTTTGATGACAAGAATCATTTCTACTATCATGGACTCTTGATGCATGATCAGCACCTATTTTTCTTAAATGATATGAGGTAATACCATGAGGAGCTAGAAATTGATTAAGTAGATAAACTTTTACATAACCATTTTCACCTTTTAACAGAAATGAGAAAGTCTTTGAAATTACCTTCTGGATCCAGGTGAGTAGTTTTATTACTCTTTTTGGATCCTTTTTTATTGAAAAAAATGGTAAAGATTCATCAATTTGACTTTTGGCGTAGCCAGTACAATATCAAGAATATTTAGGATCATACCATTTTTTATAACTTGGTGGATAGTAATTAATACGAAGAGTTACAACATCTGCTGGTCTCATAGATAACATTACCATTACATTGATCAAATTCTGCATGGAAGGAAATTTGGTAATATCACAATTACTAAGTCTATCCTGAACATTCTTTGAGTAAAAGAATTCGGGACAATCTATATCTTTATCTTTATTAAGTTCGTGACACTTATTCTGTTTTTTCTGTGATTCTTTGGTAATCTGAGGTATGCTTGTTGATTCTAGTATAGGACTATCAGCACTCAAAGTTTCTAATTCTTTTTGAAGATATGTAAGACGTGAGGCACTAGCAACAATATTTAGAGTAGTATTAATCAAATTATTTGCTATCTTATTTATCTTTTTGGGTGAGATATCATTTTTCATAATATTTTTTGCTATAACTTTGATGGAATCTCTTCTAATTACATATCGCCTGGGTGCCTATTTAGGGATAAGAGTGTATACCTGCTCTTCACTAAGATCTAATTTCTGAAAGCATCTTCTAGCTTGATCTCTAGCTCTTCTCACCTGCTCTTTTGTTTTACCATCTGAGAGTTTACCAGCCAACTCTTCAACGTAATTACTAAGCTGAGATAAGCTAGTTTGGGGTGACAATTTGTAGTGATTAAAAAATTCTGTAGTGACTTTTTCCATAGTAATAAGCGTATTCAATATAAGATGATTATTATATTATAAATATCTCAAGTCTATACTATAAATGTCTCAGGTATATACTATGGAGATTTTTTTTTCAAATCGAAATTAATTATCCATGGGTCAGTATATCTATATTCAAAAATTAAATGGG